GTGCATGTCCTGTTTCCTTCTTCCCCTGTAAGTGCTGCTAGTGTGGAGTAAGGAGAATCTTCTGGCACACCCATTCAGCCCACCCCCAGCCCCAAACTGGCATTGAGGATACCCAGAAGAAAGTCAGGTATCCTCAATGCCAGTATCCAGCTGCCAGTTGAGGCTGCACAGCTTGGACAATGGAAGACAGGCCTGCCTGCCTGCCTGGAGTGAGTTCTTAACCATGGCCTCAAACAAGCCCCATGAGGAGATGAATCAACAGAGTGGCCAGGCTAGCCACGTGTAGGGTCTCCTCCTGCCTGACCTTGGCCTGGCCCTACCGTGAAGAGCAATTGAGGGGAAGGCCTCTGCTCCTACATGGATACGAGGTGTGGACAGAGGTCATCTGAAGCCCACATCTTGAAGCCAGGCCAAACCAGCCATCCTCTGAGTCAAGAGGGGTGGAACAGACTCTGGGGTAAGGGAGCTAGGGCTGCAGCTAACAGCATCATTTTAGGCCATCAAATGCACAGCCCCATGGTGCTGGAGGATCAGGGACTCCTGAGGCCCTCAATGTTCTGGTCCTTGTCTCAGCTGATTCCCAGTGTAAGCCCGTATCTAAGTGTTCCTGACATTGAAGGTAGACAGGAGCTGTGGGCTTGACCTAGGCAACAAGGCCTTTTCTTTCACTTAGGGCTGGCGTAGGGCTCCAGGCATCTAACTCACCTGTCCTGGGACCCAGTCTGTCTTCTTCCCTTTCACATACCAGGGGCCCTTGTGCTTTGGAGAAGGGGAACCCACAGATAGGGTAGTGGTAAAGGCAGGCTGAGTGGGGGTCTTGTTACCTGCTGTGGCCAGCCACATGTGGGGGAAGGGAGGCTCCAGCTCTAGCACAAAAGGCCCTTGTATGAGCAGCAGGTGCCTGGAATGGGAGGGAGCTGTCAGCCATAAGCAGGACTGCCTGCCTGGGGGCAGCCTGGCATCTCAGGCAAGGTTCAGGCCTTTGGGGCACCCAGGGTGAGGACTGTCTGGGTGTAGCCCTCAGGCTTTCCTAGGAGCCTGAGTGAAACGAGCAAGCTGCTGACCTCTCTCTTCCCAGGATAAGTGGGAGCCCACCTTTGATAGGTTGTTAAGACATGGGGTGCCGGGCGTTGGTGGCGCACGCCTTTAATCCCAGCACTCGGGAGGCAGAGGCAGGCGGATCTCTGTGAGTTCGGGGCCAGCCTGGTCTACAGAGTAAGTTCCAGGACAGCCTCCAAAGCCACAGAGAAACCCTGTCTCGAAAAACCAAAAAAAAAAAAAAAAAAAAAAAAAAAAGACATGGGGTTCTGGAGGGAGTGGGCCCTGTCCCAGGGGCAGACCCTGTCAAACTGGCTCTACTCAAGCCCTGGGCTCCAGCTGGGACTCACTGGTACCTCCAAAAGCCCCTTCCCCTCTCTGTGACTCTGGAGTGAGAAGAGGCTTCCATCTACATTGGCCACTGAGGGAACAGGTAGCCGTGTACTGAGCAAGTACTGGCATGTGGGAAAGATGTGTCACCTCTGGGGGACAGTGCTGATCTTCATTCTAGAGATCTGGCCCAGAGCAGAACCCCCAAGAACTACCTGAGGAGTTAGCCTGATGTCTAGCCTGGCACCGTAACAGGCCACCATATAATGTTGTCCCTCACCTGAACCACGGGGTTCCTCATCTCTAGTTCATGTTTTGATGATCAGGGGCTGAAAAGGAGTTTCTATTCATTTAGCCATCTGCTCCCCTAGATGAGGGCACTTGCCAGGCCAGAGCTGCCAGCCAGCCTCTACCCCTCCTCTAGGAACCTCACCACTGGCCACATCCTGGGCAGGTCTGACACCACAAGTGGAAAAACACAGATCCCATAGTTTCCATGTGAAGTTTTCCTGCTGCGGTCTCTCCTCACTCAGAGAAGGGAGGGACACAAGAGTGTGTTGCAGGGGCCAGCGGCCCCAACAGTCAGCTTCTCTGCTTACGCGCCCGCCCGGGCCGACTGCCATCCTGTCTCTCCAGATTCTACAGGGAGGGGCTTCAGGATCCACAATTCTCCTTCCTGCCATGCAGCCAGCTAGAGGGACTGGTCTCAGCTGGCTGCATGGCGGGAAGGAGGAGAGGGGAAACTTGTCGCTGAGCTGTTGCCCTTGGCTGTTGGTCCTTATACTGGCTAGCCAGCCTCTACATGTATCAGCTTTTTACATGCTCATTCATGACAGCCAACACCATAACGGTATGATCACAGAGAAGGATGACAGAGGGGTCAGAAACAGGCCAGGAGCACTAGGGACCTGACTCACAAGTTCTGGGCTCACTGCATCTGAGGGTGGGAGTGGAGATCCCCCTGGCCTCAGCCCTGACTCATAAACTCTTTGCTCTTAGGAACAGAAGATGCACTCCAGGGGCTGCCTGCCACCTCTCTTGCTATTGCTCCTGCTGCTGGGGGAGTCTGGAGTACAGGGCTGCCCATCAGGCTGTCAGTGCAACCAGCCACAGACAGTGTTCTGTACTGCCCGCCAGGGAACCACAGTGCCCCGCGACGTGCCACCTGACACGGTGGGACTGTACGTCTTTGAGAACGGCATCACTACACTTGATGTGGGCAGTTTTGCTGGCCTACCAGGCCTGCAGCTCCTGGACTTGTCACAGAACCAGATCACTAGCCTGCCTGGTGGCATCTTTCAGCCACTGGTTAACCTCAGTAACCTGGACCTGACTGCCAACAAACTGCATGAGATCTCCAATGAGACCTTCCGAGGCCTGCGACGCCTTGAACGCCTCTACCTGGGCAAGAACCGCATTCGCCACATCCAGCCTGGTGCCTTTGATGCACTTGACCGCCTCCTGGAGCTCAAGTTGCAGGACAACGAGCTTCGGGCGCTGCCCGCCTTACACTTGCCCCGCCTACTGCTGCTTGACCTCAGCTACAACAGTATCCCAGCCCTGGAATCTGGAGTACTAGACACCGCCAATGTGGAGGCTTTAAGGTTGGCTGGCCTGGGGCTGCGGCAGCTGGATGAGGGGCTTTTTGGCCGCCTGCGCAACCTCCATGACCTGGATGTTTCTGACAACCAGTTGGAGCACATGCCACCTGTGATTCAAGGCCTGCGTGGCCTTACACGCCTGCGGCTGGCTGGTAACACCCGCATTGCCCATATACGGCCTGAGGACCTGGCTGGTCTGACCGCCCTGCAAGAATTGGATGTGAGCAACCTGAGCCTGCAGGCCCTGCCCAGTGACCTCTCAAATCTCTTTCCCCGCCTGCGCCTCCTAGCAGCTGCCCGAAACCCCTTCAACTGCTTGTGCCCCTTGAGCTGGTTTGGGCCTTGGGTGCGCGAGAGTCATGTTGTACTGGCCAGCCCTGAGGAGACACGCTGCCACTTCCCACCCAAGAATGCTGGCCGACTGCTCCTGGATCTGGATTATGCAGATTTTGGCTGCCCAGTCACAACTACCACAGCCACAGTACCTACCATAAGGCCTACTGTCAGGGAGCCCACATCTTCACCTTCTGACCGAGCTTCCACATGGCCCAGCCTCACAGAGCCAACTACCCAGGCCTCCACCTCACCATCCACTGCCCCAGCAACCATGAGGCCCGTTCCTCAGCCCCAGGACTGCCCAGCATCCACCTGCCTGAATGGTGGTACCTGTCGTGTAGGGGCAAGACACCACCGGGAGTGCCTGTGCCCTGAGGGTTTCATTGGTCTGTACTGTGAGAGTCCTGTGAGACAAGGGATGAAGCCCAGCTCCATACCAGATACTCCAAGGCCCCCTCGGCCCCTGCCTCTCAGCATTGAGCCAGTGAGCCCCACCTCCCTGCGGGTGGGGCTGCAGCGGTATTTGCAGGGCAACATGGTACAGCTCCGCAGCCTCCGCCTCACCTACCGTAACTTGTCTGGCCCTGACAAGCGGCTGGTGACCTTACGGCTGCCTGCTTCACTTGCAGAGTACACAGTCACCCAGCTGCGACCCAATGCCACCTATTCTATCTGTGTCACACCCTTGGGAGCTGGGCGGATACCTGAAGGTGAAGAGGCCTGTGGGGAGGCCAACACTCCCCAGGCTGTCCGCTCTAATCATGCCCCTGTTACCCAGGCCCGTGAGGGCAATCTGCCGCTCCTTATCGCACCTGCCCTGGCTGCTGTCCTTCTAGCTGTGTTAGCTGCTGCAGGAGCAGCCTACTGTGTGCGGCGGGGTCGGACAACAGCTACAGCTCAGGACAAAGGGCAGGTGGGACCAGGAACCGGGCCCCTGGAATTAGAAGGGGTGAAAGCCCCCTTGGAGCCAAGCTCTAAGGCAACCGAGGGAGGTGGGGAGGTCCTGTCAGGTAGTCCTGAATGTGAGGTGCCCCTTATGGGCTACTCAGGGCCCAGCCTTCAGAGTGCCCTCCCTGCTAAGCACTACATCTAAGCCAGGAGAGATACAGCAGCCAGGGTCCAGGCTTTCTGTCGCCACCTTCCTGCTGCCACAAGCAAGTTCTCAATATGCACCCCAGGGCACACACATGCATGGTGGCGCCGTGGGACAGTCGCCAGTCCCTGACCCTCTTTGGACTGGATCTCATTTGTGAACTACTACAGCCCAGATGAGTTGTCATAGCCATCAGTATGTCCAATACAGGCGCCCACTGTCTTCTGCAGTGAGCAATCCTGAGGCGTGAGCCCTACCATGTGCTGGTAACATGGGGAGGCAAGTTGGGCTTCCCAAGCCACCGAATCTGGTGACCAATGAAGGAAGGCCCCAGGAGTAGGGGGGGGCACTATGGCTGTGGCCTTGGCCCCAAAAGTGCAGGAACACTTGAAACTGGAAAGGAAGGTGCTTTGGGCACATGTGGATTTGCTTCTATTGTTTCTTTTTTTAAAAAATGTATTTATGAAAGATCTTTTCCCGTTTATGCTGGGAAAGTGTTTTTCAAACTCAGTGACAAGGACTTTGGTTTTTGTAAGACTATTGATGATATGAAGGCCTTTTGTAAGAAAATAAAAAATAAAATGAATTGACTGTCTCTCTGGTTGGGCTTGGGATACATGAGCTTTATGTTCTGTGGACACCCACAGTCACTGGCCACAGGCATGGGCTTGACAGGGCTGCTGCTGCTGAAAGTGTCTCCCATTAGAATGCTCCCACCACGGGCCCTGACCCATGGTGAGTACCGTCACCTGGGTGAGGCGGGAAAATGGACTGGTTAGGGAAGCTGACCCTAGCTGGCCCGTCTTCTGCCAGCAGGAGTCACAGTCTCTATGTATGAGGTTGGAAGGGACTTATGGCAAACAAGGACACAGAGGGAGTCTGAGGGGGGTCACATACTCCTTGGGTGTTCTGAAGGGCAGTCTACCCCTGCTTTCCATAGAGAGGACAGCCTGGAGCTTCCTCATTTTAGGGCCTAATAATACCTGACCCTGGGCTTCCAGACTACCACAGAATCCTAGGCTGCCCAGGTATGGCCCCAGCTCCTTCCTGCTGTCTGCACTGCCCTGGCAGAAGCCCAGCTGTAAAGGCCATTGGCGGGCAAAACATGGATCACCAAGGCAAGAGGCTTGATGGACAGAAAGGGTAGGTCAGAACAGAACATTAGCAGCAAGGACAGGGTCAAAGGACTCTGGCTTGCAAATGGTGCCAAATGTGATGGTCCAGGGTATTCCTTTACTTTCTGCCCTGGGGAAGTATCCAGTGATTCTGGAACCCCAATGAAGGAATGTTTTCTAGGAAGACTACAGACTGTGGCCTGAACTGGGTGTGGGCAGCTCCTAAAACTGAGGGACACACATCATCTTTATCTGTTACCCTTAGGACTGAGAGAGGAGTTGGGCCCTGGGGGAGTGGAAGGACCCAGCAAAAGCAGAAGCAAGTCATTCACAGGCCCCAGTGCCAATCTCTTGTCTTCCTGTGGGTCATGGCCCTGGTACCAAGTCTCACCCCTGGAGGGAAGGAGGAAGTCCAGCCAGGCCTGGGGAACAGGCCCTGTGGTTTGGGGTGTTGATGTCAGCATCAAGTCAGCCTCAGCCACAAGAGGATCTGGATTCAATTAGCAGCTGCTGAGGGCTGTGGCAGAGGGAGGAGGTGGATGACGGGTCATGTGGGGCAGTAGGTGGTAACACTGGGCCTGGGTGGGGCCCCCTTCTACTGAGGCTGCTGTGGCGGCGGCGGCAGCCCAGGTGGATTTCCTGTAGGCCTGGGTTCTATTAGGACAGCAGGCACGGTGAGGCCTGCCCCTCTCGGCAGCTCCATCAAAGGGGCCTTTGTGGGCCTGTGGGCCACGGCTGAAGAACAGCAACTGCTGAGTAAATGTTTTTGCTGCAAAGCAAACCTGGCCTAGAGGTATGGCAGGGTGGTGAGGCCCAGAGAAAGGGGAGGAGCCCCTCAAGAACAGTATCCAGATCACCCCAGCCTTAGTGGGGACTAGACCAAGATACAGCCTCCACTGAAGATAATTCTACCAAAGCTGGCCTAGGTGGATGGGAAATGTAGTGTCATTTCCATCTCCCTTAGAAGAGGAAAGGCGCCCCATGTGAGCCAGCCGTAATAGCTCACAGGCTTTCACACTATTGCTACAAAGGGTAGGACCGGCAGTCTGCCCACACCTTCATACCATCTTCACACTCACTCTCAGTACACGCAGGAGCAAGGGACAAGGCCGGCATGGCTCCCACGGTAGCTGCTCTTTAGTAGGGGCTCTGCAGAACCTCCTGCTATCCTGTGCCTCCTCCCTACGTTGAACCTGGGATCTAGCACACAGAAAGTTCTGGAAAGCCCTCTGGGTGGCAGCCTGAACACGCTACATGGCCCAAGGGACACTGGCAACATTCTGCAACTCTGCACTGTGGAAAGTATCCTTATAGACACTCCAAAATGACAGGGGGAGGACAGAGATGGGAACCACGACAAAGGTCTCTGGGAGAGGAGGGTGGGGAAGGGCGTGCGCCTGACCCTTGGGCCCTGTAGCTCTTGTGAGCACACACTGTTCTGCCCTAAACCAAGATGGAAAATCTGTAACAGAGAGATCAAGGGTGGCGAGTAGACAGAGCTGCCAACCTCCCCCATGGCTGTGCCCAGAGTTGGCATTGGCACGCTGTACACTTTCCATCTTCAATCATGGGGTGAGGGAGTCTGCTTTCCAGTATGCCTGCGAGGACGTGGGACCTGCCACCTCTTTGAACCCTAGTTAATGGCATGCATCAATGTCCACCAACTTTGTGGAGGCTGGAGAGTCCCAGCTCCCTTGCCAAGGGTGTCAGCTTGCCAGGGCATAGGCCAGGGCTGGGGGACTGAGGGGAGGAACGCTGGGCTGGCGGCCCATCTGGGAGTGATTTGACAAATTCCAGTCTTCGTTGGTCCTTCAAGGCTATTCTTAACTGCTGTAATTATAGGGTCAGCCCTGGCCAGTGGCACCATGGGGTCTGGGCATGGTTAACTCTTCTCAGGGGTCATCCTAATTCTAGGCAGGAGATGCCCTGCAAGGGAGAGATACTTAGCATCACTACCACTGAGAGTGGGGCCTGACTGGCTGGAAGTACTAGGTAAAAAGTACCTGACTGATGATGCCAAGTGCCCTTCACACTCACAGCACCTCTGCTGGAGGCCTGCAGGGAACAGGTCGTCTGGCTTGAGTAGGTCTGGAGATAAGATGCTAAGACAGTGCCAGGCCTGGGGACACAAGATAAATGCTGGCTGTGCAGCTCCAAAGCCCAGCACTTCTGTCTTCTACGGGGCAGTGCCGCCCTGATGGAATGCCTCTCCAGACCCAACCCTGATCCCGAATATGCCTCAGCTTTGCCTTCCTTATCTATAAAATATATGTTGTCAAGTCGGGCATGGTGGCGCACGCCTTTAATCCTAGTACTTGGGAGACAGAGGCAGGCGGATCTCTGAGTTCAAGGCCAGTCAGGTCTACAAAGAGAGTTCTAGCACAGTCAGGGTTATACAGAGAAACCCTGTCTTGAAAAACCAACCAACCAAGCAAACAAACAAAGTATCCCAATCTCTCCCCGTACATTAAAGGATGGGATGTACAGCCTATCTCCCTGACACACCTACTTCATCCTCTGAGGGCCTAAAGAATACAACTCCCCCAGCATCCCTGACCCCTAATGTGATACTCTTGTTTCTGGACCGTTGATAAGCCCTTGTCCTGCTGTGATTTCAGACTCTTCAGTTCTGAAATATTCTAGGAAGGAAAGGCTGGATGATAGCCGAGGGCCAGGGACCTTCCCTGTCTCCATTATTCCCCAATCAACCTACCCAGAAGGTTCCCAATCAGCCCTTCCATCCAGTCATAGCTAAAGCTTCCTTCAGAACAGGGACTGAGTCCCTCCCTTCTCCCCTACAGCCATACCTGGCAAAGTCTCTGATCCTCCTGGAGCCTCCATTTCCTTAACTATTCATGATGGCTGTGCAGATTGAATAGACTGTTTATCCTGAGTGCCCGCTTGCTAGTGACAGGTTTATAAGCCGTTACAGACCAAGGTGATCGATCTCTACCCAGAGCTGCTTGGCCTGGCCAGGGATCCCACCAGGTATAGCCATAAACTTTCTTCCACATACTTCTGAGAGGCAGGGACGGAAGGATGAAATACATTCTATGCTCCTGTGCTATCTGAGAATATATGTGAGGCAGATCTCAAGCAAACTTCTTATATAAACCTCAGTGGACTCCAAGCCCCCCTGTACCTGCCACACACACCTGCTCACCATCTCATACTCATCAGTGTCTACTTTCCAACACAGCCTCAAGCTGTCAGCTCCCTGACAACATCCATAGCAAAAACAAACTCATTCCTGTCACCTGTACCCCAGTGACACATTTCCAAGGTCATAGCTCCTACCCTAAACTCAAAAACACACTTGAATAAACCCTTAGGCAGTGAAGTGTGCCCCATGACCAGGGGCCTACATTCCTGACAGGGCCCCAAGAGGACAGGGAAAGTTCATTCACTGACCCATTTAAGACTGCCTCAGCACCCCCTGCTGGTAAAGCTGGGGGTCCTGGAGTACAGAGCATAGGTGCAGCCCAGGCTCAGCATCTGTCACAATGACAGGGACCAGTCTGGACACCTTCTAAACTCTTGGCTCCCAGCTCCCAGCATGTCAAAGTTCCTACCCAGGTGAGGTGTCCAAGGTGACAGAGGTCAGGGCGCTGCTGAAGAGGCGGGTGTCCCAGAGTTTCACTTCTCTTTCTCGCATCTGTGGGGGAGCCAGAGAAAGACTCAGAGAAATCTATCTGCTCCTGGAACCCAGTACCTGAGGGTGCAGCCTGGCATGGTCACCTGGCCCAGAGCATCAGGGAGTCATGACAGGGAGGGAGAGTTTGGGTTTTCATGTCCTGCCCTGCCCCTTTAAGAACCTTTGGGTGACAAGGGACAAGGGGCGTTTCCCTCCATGGACTCTGGTCCCTGTGGGGCCACCATGGCTCCTGGGGTCAAGCTTAGCTACTGCAAATGGAATCTGCCAGTTTTCCAAAGTCCTCAATTCCCTGGGGCCCTGAGACCCAGCTGCACAGCCAGGCCGTATATGGACAGGCCATTAACTGGCTGTCTGCACCCCACCTCCCAATGGCCTCACCCAACCTTCTTGAAGCAGGAGCCTAAAGGACTAGACAAGCCCCTGACTGGCAGTGCCATGAATGCTGGAGGAAACCCTACCTGGTTGAATCCTGTGGACACAAGATGCTCCTGAATGCCTGTCCACGCCAGCCGGGTGTCTCTGTTGTTCTCATGGGCCTGTGTGCTCTGCAGGAGACAAGAGACAGCACTGAGCCATCAGGGCCCCCTGCCGGGGACAAGGACCTGCTGAGTGGCTGGGAACTGGGATATGCTGTGCCTACTTGTCTGAGTACCCACAGCAAACAGGAGAGGTCCTGAAGACCCTGCCTCCACCCTTGAAAGCACCTCTGCACCCAGAGGCCCCCAGGTTCAGCTTCATCCTCCCTCCTCCCAAGAGTGCTGGTGTGCCAGGGTCAAAGGCTGCTGGCTGAGGGTCCTCTTTCAAGAGCTGTACGGTCTTGGGGAATGCACACCCTCTGCACAGCTCACTCTTCTCACTTGTAAATGAGGCTTATAGTGCCCATGCCACCCACTCCTCGGGGCTGCCCAGAGGATCAGCTGTGAGAGCAAATACAAGGACTGGGCCTTGAGAAAAGCCCCGTGCAAATCACAGGATTAGAAGGATTACTGCTGCCTCCTGTCACTGCCAGCAGGCCAGAGGGAGGCCTGGGGCCAAGCTCTGGGTAACATCCTGGAGAGGGTGAAGCAGTGCCCCTGGTGGCCCTTCAGGGGTGTTGGAGCATCTGACAGACAGGAAGGCTGGAGGCCCCCAGAAAGGAAGAAGAAATTCGCACAGCAGGCGGAGCGAATGGCCCTGTCCCCCTTGGGCCCTGGCAGGAGGGAGTCCAGAGGAAATGCAAACAGCTCTCTCCCAGCCACCCTGGCCCCTGGAGCCTGAGACAAGGACCCTGTTACCAAAAATAGCTCACCCCAAATGTGGCCAGCCTCCTCCAAACTTCCCACGATCTCCTCCTTGGGAATGAATGAGGCAGGGAAGCAGCTTGGAGAAGCTTGCCCAGGGCCCCCTCCCCAGCATGCAGAGGCTGACCCCAGCGTGGGAGACCACTGGAAATGCTCCGCCTGTCCTTCAAGGGGCTTTTTCCCCCCTCACTGTTCCTTTCCCACCCAGCCACAGTGGCACAGGAAGTCGGAGCTGGAGCCTGAGAACTAGGGCCCCATACTTCCCTTTCCATGTAAAAGGGGCTATGGGGTCTGGACAAGGGTCAAGCCATTGGCTAGCCTCTGGAGTACTATTATGGGTCAGCAGTGCCATTTAAGCTCTGGTTCCTTCACCAGTGTGCAGCTCTTGTGAAGGTGGAAAACCAGACAACTCATAACTGGTCTACCTTTCACTCCCTCATTCACAGTCAACAAACACGTGAGGCTCCAGGGGCTGAGAGGTATGCTAGGAGCCAGCAGAGAGGCCGGGCAGGCTTCAAGACCAGGAGTGTGAGTAGCTGGTCATTCTTTCTTTCATAATATGGATATGCTGTGCTAGGAGATGGAGACACAGAAGAACAAAGCGGCTAAGTCTCCCGAGCCCAGGGAACATTTACATAGCAGGAGGCCAGCCAGACTGAACAGAGTAACTTCACTGCAGTTACTACTACATATCACAAAGGAGGAAAATGAGGTTAGGACAGGAAGCCCTGAGTCAGGCGGCCCTGGTGAAAACACACCGTTGTCTCCACTGCCCTGTCCCTGGATGAGTTCTGTGCCTCAGTTTCTTCACCTCTGAAAAGCGCAATGACATCTTCCCCTAGACATCTATTGCAGAACTAGGTATTACAATCTGCTGTTTAATTTTTGGAGGTTGGGGGTGGGGTCACAGTTTTCTGAGACAGGGTCATGCCATGTAGTCCAGGTTAGTCTTTAACAATTGATTTTCTGCCTCAGCCTCCTAAGTGCTGGGTTTATGTATTTACAGATGTGAACTATCATATCCAGCTGCAAATGTGTATTTTACAAGGTAACAGGGCACAGAATGTATCTGAAATAACATTTTGTCTGAACTAGAATGGTCTTCCAGAGAGCTACACAGAGCTATCTCTGCATAGAGACGAGAAGCAGAAAGGCCCAAGAAGCTGCAGGTAGGGAGCGGGAGGTGGCTAATCCGGTGCAGGAATCTGTGTAACTACCACTGCCAGCAGAGTAACCATCTACAGGAGCCACGAAGGCAGTTCAGTCCAACACGGTCAGTAGTTGGTGTTAGTTCAAACTTTGGGAGTCTGACCCCAAGTTTATTTTAGACATATTTAAGAACAGCACAATTTGGTGAAAAACTTCCTGATTCTAAATCAATACTGTGTGCACAATAAAGTTTAAGACATGACGACATCAAAACTCTTTATAAAGTACATGTGACGTCTTCCATAAAGATGGCCCTATAGATTGACAGGCTCATGAGAAGGGGAGGGTCTGGTGTGGTCTTGGCCACACAGATAGCACAAAGGTCACCAGGCTATTAACCACATCCGCTCCCAGACTTCTGGTTGGATAAACAGGTCATGCATCCCTCCCTTGAAGGGACAACCCAGTGTGTTTAACATTCCTGGTTCCCTTAGTGCTTATCTGTGAGCACAAGAATCTCTGTACCTCCCAGAGGCGTGGCGTGGCTGCCACTGGCAGCTTTTCTTTTCTTTTTTCTTTTTGGTTTTTCGAGACAGGGTTTCTCTCTGGCTTTGGAGGCTGTCCTGGAACTCGATCTGTAGACCAGGCTGGCCTCAAACTCACAGAGATCCACCTGCCTCTGCCTCCCGAGTGCTGGGATTAAAGGCGTGCGCCACCACTGCCCGGTGGTACACTGGCAGCTTTTCATGCAGGAGAATATACACGGAGTAGAATGTACCTTGGTCCACATCTTCTACCTTCCCATTAACATATGAAGAAATCAGGGGCCTAGAGAGAGGAAGCTGTCTGCCTTGATTGCCCATAATGCAGCTGGAGGCTCCGCCTAGGACCCATTAGATCCTGTGACTCATAGATGATGAGACTGAGACTGATAGCTGCAAGGTGGCAGGAGTGGGACCGCCACCAGTCCAGATGCCTCTGGTTTCCAGCACGCTTCCAAGGCTGGCCTACACTGTAGGGTACTACAGTGTCTTTTCTGCCACTCAGTGCCCTAACAATTCTCCCATATCTGGTTTTGAGAAAAGAACAGGAATGGCAATGGTCCAGCCACCCCGGCCAACCACAACTAGGTGGCAGCGGCACATTTACATTTCAACTGAAGTGCAGTCACATCTCCTCTCCAATGCATGACACCACCACCTGTCCAGGAGGGGAAACTCTAAACTCCTTTCTGGGGAAAAGGGAACTTCTCCAGGGGGTGTGCAACCTCCTAGGCAACTACAGCTACCAGCAGATACCTGCCTGACTTGTGGCTCCCTTCCCTCCCTCTTTTGAAATAGAGAATCACTACATAGCCATGATGACACCAACAACAACCTCCTCCTCAGCCAGCCATTCTGACACTAGGAGGTAGTTCAAACGAGAGGTTGGAAGGCTTGTCCCAACTCTATTCTGCCCCCGGTGAAGGTCTTGGTCCTCACCACTGATGACCATTTTCACTCAAACCTCAAAAGGTTGAACTTGAAGAAATGGCTCAGAGGCTAACGGTACTGGCTACTTTTCCAAAGGGCCCAGGTTTGGTTCCTACATGCTACATGGTAGTTTACAACCATCCATAATTCCATTCCCACTTACATACGTGCAGGCAAAACATACACATAAAAATAAATACATTAAGCCTGGTGGTGGCGGCTCAAGCCTTTCATCCCGGCACTGGGGTGGCAGAGGAGCTCTGTGAGTTCAAGGCCAGCCTGGTCTACAAAAAGTTCTAGGACAGCCAGAGCTATAACACAGAGAAACCATATCTCGAAAAAAATCAGTCAATCAATCAATCAATAAGTTAAGAGAAAAGAGTTGCTGCTTCCTTTAATTAGTAATAGCTTCAGGGCCTTCCTTGCCCTCACCCTAGGCTCTGGCTTAAGGGACAGCAGAGAAAGTCTAGGGGCTCAGAGAGATTGGGCTGGCACTCTGCTCCTCTGCTGGGTCCTGAGTCAATGACAGCTGCTTAAGAGGCTAAGACAGAAGGTCACACAGCCAGGGTAACACAGGGAGAATCCCATTTCAAAACTAAAAAAATTAAGGTGAAGGCAGGAAGATCAGAAATACAAGGCCAGGTGGTGGCGGTGGCACATGCCTGTAATCTTAGTACTCAGGAGGCAGAGGCAGGCAGATCTCTGAGTTTGAGAACAGCCTGGTCTAGCGCATGCCTTTAATCCCAGCACTCGGGAGGCAGAGGCAGGTGGATCTCTTGAGTTCAAGGCCAGCCTGGTCTACAGAGCGAGTTCCAGGACAGCCTCCTGGAACCTGGAACAATACAGAGAAACACTCTCTCGAAAAAACAAAACAAAACAAAACAAAAAAACAAAAAAAAAAAAGAAAGAAAAGAAAAAAATCAAAGCCTACATAAATAAAAATAGGAGCAAAAAATTAAAACAAAGGGTACAAAAGATATAAAATATTAGTAGGGAGTCACCTAAGG